TATTGCTTGTTTTGACTACGGAACTAACAATTATTTTTACGCAGAATTCGAACTAGCGCTGTGCCCTCTACGGCGACTGTGGCGCGTTACGATTTTCTTGTCCTTTATTGGTCCCTCCGCTTGAATCAGACAGCGTTAAAAGTTTGTGGTTTAATCTAAAAATCAAATGTTAGCTCTATTAGTCACAAACATTCATATAGCTGAACGAAGTTTGTAAAAGAATTAGTCTTTTAGAATCGAAACTAAGTACCGCAGTATTTACTTGGCATTTTGCAAGCAATACGAATTCTTTATTTTAATCCACAATATACGCGTTATTTCTGAATTGCCCAAAACGCTTATAGACAACGATATATAGAAAACATCCAGTTTGTGTGTATTCCATGGAGAGATTAAACTCGTTCTTTTACTCAGATTTTGACTTGGTAACATGCAGTGACTTTGAATGAACAAAACGCCAAATAACTCATTGTATGTTGTATATTATTTCTATTTTTCTACAGGACGCCTTATACTGTCGTTCCCTGAACGAGGATTTCCATCCTGACGTCACACCAATCATACTAGCAGCCCATCACAATAACTACGATATCATTAAACTTTTGTTGGACTGTGGCGCTGAAATTCAGGACCCCGAGACCTACGAATTCCAGTCGGAAGCATACACCCTGGAACACTCTCTAGGAACTGTGAACGTCTATAGAGCTTTAGCCAGCGAGGCATACATCTCCTTGACGTGCAGCGATCCAATAAGCTCGGCATTCGAGCTGAGCTTCAAACTGAGAGAGTTGAGCGAACGAGATTATGAGTTCCGTTTTCAGTACTCTGACTTGGCTCACCAATGCGAGCAGTTTGGTGCCGGTTTGATCGGCCAGATTCGAGATTCGCAAGAACAGAATACGTTGTTATGCACGGACCCCGGTGAGATATTGGCCAATAATGCTATTGACGTACACATGCCGTATAAGGTGAAGAAAGCCATTCGATATGGTCAGAAATTGGTGAGACTGAATGTTATTACAATTCAACAATATGCTTCGACGCAAATATAGCCGCGAAAATATCACTGAGAGCCCGAAAGTCA